ACTCATTTTTTTTGGTTGATTTTTCTTTGTTAAATGGCATTTAAATATATAAAATAAATGTAAAAAATATAAATCTTTGTTTTACTATGGTTGCAAATATCAAAAAATTTCTATATGTGACACAGCACCAGAGTTAAGTTAGGGTTTTTCAAAATGCTGACACGCCGAGCTCAAAAGGTTCTCCATCACTGTCCTAGGTCATGGTTTCATTACATGTGTCTGCCCGCACCTTAGCTTCCAGGACGCAGGCCGCCCGGTGCCCGTGTGCCCGCCGTGTGTGCCAGTGTGCACCTGTGTTTCACACCAGTGGACAGCACTGAATTTAGGCCTGCAGAGGAGTTTAAATGTGTAAGAATTCATCCTCGGAGTCCTTCATGATCCTCTGTTGTTGCTCAGGCGCACCGCCTGGGAGCAGAGAAGCAGCGCTTGCTCTCTGTCTTGGGGGAAACCTGCTGGCAGTGCGTCCTGGGCCCTGGAGGCCCTGGGGTACCTGCTGCTGTGGGTGGAGGCGGGCTCAGCGCCGGAGGAGAACTGCGTCTGCACAGTGCACGCAGCTGCTCAGAACTTACGAAGCGATTGCCTGCTCTTACCACAAACGAAATTCTGATCAGCGTTTCCATTTGTCCTGCCCTGACTCAGCATTGCTCTTTTCGTTTTCCTACAGCCTTTACACCCCAGGTCCTTGTAGGTTCACTGATGAGTATAAAGAGAAAAACAAACCTCCAGTTCGCTTTCTAATGACCTAGCCCCGTGTAAGGAACGTGGAGGTTGGCTCTTTGGGCCGATGTGTTTCACTGTGGCCTGTCCCGGAGGAACGCATGCCTCTCAACAGGAGCATGTTTAGGGCCGTGGTCATGTGCCGACTGCTGTTAGGAATCCTTCCTCTCAACTAGCCTCAGGAGCCCACAGGCACGGGGGCCACGTGCTGGCGCAGAGGAGAGCAGCTTCGTGCGCCCTGTGCCCACGCTGTGGTGGCAGCTCACTGTCCCCTGCGTGAGGGAGTGGCGGACAGAACCCAGGACTGCGCTGTGGATGGATTGGGCGTCTAGTTCCACTCGGGCCTGCCCCTGTGCCGCCAGCTAATGTTTTAGTATGAAGTTCCTTTGCAGAGAGTCTGTTCTGTCGCCCTAGCCAGGCTGAACACTCGTTCTGTTTAACATTAAGGTAGCATCCTAGTTATTCAGTGTCGCATTTTTTATTGTTGCCTCAACATGGCCCTGTTGAAATCACAGATGAAGTGATGCGCATTTGGTGTGATTTTTCTGTGTACCGGGCTCGAAGGATGGTACAATGTCCGCAAATCAATAAATGTGATGCATCACATAAACAAACTGAGAGACAAAAATCACATAAGGAGTCACTGCACAGGCTGTCAGTGACTGTACTTGGCCACAGGACTTTGCTCTCATTCGCAGTCGTTACCTCGTGAGGCACATGGCAGCTGTGCCTATAGACCAGTGGTTCTCCACCTTCCTAATGCCGCAACCCTTTAACACGGTTCCTCATGTTGTGGTGACCCCCAACCATAAAATTATTTTCGTTGCTACTTCATAACTGTAATGTTGCTACTGTTATGAATCGTAATGTAAATATCTGATGTGCAGGATGTATTTAGGCGACCCCTGTGAAAGGGTCGTTCGACCCCCAGGTTGAGAACCGCTGCTATAGAGTATCTGTAATATGCTCATGCTGGGGCAGTCGGAAGCCACCATTTGAGAATTGCTTTTCTAAGATGATTCATGTTTGTTATGTGTTTGGTTTCCAATGCAGTGGTGTACAACTGGAAGTTTCTCTTTAAAAGATGGTTTCTTTCCCTCTCTGGTCTGGCTCAGTGGCTAGAGTGTCGGCCTGCAGACTGAAGGATCTCGGATTCGATTCTGGTCAGGGCAAGTCCCCGATTCTTGATGCAAGGATGGCGAGAATGGACTGGAAACTTCTGTCACTGCCTGTGGGGAGGGAAGTAAAGTCGTGCACATGATCAGAAGCCACACATTCTGTTTTTATTTTTTCTTAAGGATGAAGAGGAAGAAATCAAACTGGAGATAAATATGCTGAAGAAATATTCTCATCACAGAAATATCGCCACATATTACGGTGCTTTCATTAAAAAGAGCCCCCCTGGACATGACGACCAGCTCTGGGTAGGCACCGTGTCTGTCTGGGGGTTTCCTCGTGGGCCGGGTGGAAGGCAGCAGGGACCTTCCAGAGGAGGAGACAGCAGAGGAAAGGGGCTGGTGTCTGGGATCTTTCTTGGTGGACATTATACTGATGTTTATTTTGATGTTTTCACTTTGCCTGTTTCAGGAATAAAATGGCATGTTTTAAAAACAATGTAATTAAAGAGCAAGGAAATTAGGATCTTGAAAATAAAAAAATAAAAACTTTAATTATGAAAATTAACCAGATAACTGCTACGCGTCCAAAACGAAACCATCCTTGCATCTATAGACGCTTATGGCGTACAAAGGGTTAACATGGAAGCTGTACTGAATGAATCTTTCTTTATTACCTGGAAGTGAGAGACAGATCACAAGAAAACAAACATATCAGTAATTTTTAAAAGTATTGGTAATAATAGTTAATTAAAAACAATAAATTCCAGGGAAATTTCTGGACTTGACACATTCAAAATTCTCTCTTCTTAAACACATATATATTCAAGATGATGAAACAGATATTGTCAGAAATATGGTCATCACATTGGTTACGCCAAAGGCTCTGGACGTAGAGAGCAGTAATAGAGATCAGTCCTTTTCCTATGTTTCAAAAAAACCATTGTAGAAAATTTGCAAAATTAAGAAAATGCAAGGGAAATAGTTACTTTCATTTCAATTGCCCAAATGTCATCATAGTTAAAATTTTAGTTCAATTCATTTGATTTTTCAGGTACTTAAAAAATATACTTACGTTCATGTTGTTCAAACATTTAGATACAGTATCTACACTAATAAAAGAGAAACATGGTAATTGGCGTACGACCGCTACCCTTTTCATGGGCTAATCAGTGAGTATATGCAAATTAACTGTCAGCCAAGATGGCAGCCGGCAGCCAGGCACTGAAGCGAGCAGGGAGGCTTGCTTGCTGCAGACTCCAACGTTCCCCGCCT